CCGTAAAGCTATTATTTTAACTTTTTAGAAAATATGCAACTATTCACTCTAACTCTCTCGATCGCATTGACATTTTGTAAACTACTCTTTACCTTGCCCACTATGACGCTGTCTAACCACTACACCCACGTTTTCAGCTGTTACTCAACAGTGTTTCGTCACACAATCAATCATGACAATCTGTCTTCCACGAACACACAATCAGCTGGGTCCGTGGGCTGCCGTGATACAGCGTAGTCCAGATCAGAGGACGTTGGTGTTGCTTGCTCGTAAACATAACAACATAACAGGAGGATGGGCGGCGAGTGCAATCAGGACAATCTACTACACTGGATCGTGGACAAGCCTTGATGAAGCATAACATTGTGTAATGAAGGATAAAATACGAGTACAAGACATCTTCAAAAAATACTATACAGGGTATCCGGTCATGAGTGTTAAATAAAAGTATCCGTCAAACTACATCATAGTGGTAATTGAATGATGCCTATTTGAGGTTACCAACTCAAACGGCACGGAAATAAAAGATAAATTAGGATAAATAATTGTAGTTTTTACGAAATAGGATTAAAACTAGGGTTGCTTTCAGAGAGGTGAAAGCCAGTTGAGCGGAACAAACGTGATTTGATATTTGTATAAGTAACTAAATGTAAAAAAGTCAATAGATGTATTAATGTTTGTTTTATTGATTATAATTGTAATAATTCAAATTTGTTTTTACTACATCTTGTTATTCAGACACCTCTTCCAGAAGTGCATTGGTAGTTTTGACCAGGAAAATATTACAGTAGTTGGAATCTGATATTAACATCCAAAAAGGGCATTAAAGTATAAAAAAGAGAAAGGAAATTTAACATTCAAATTCAACTTTAGCCTACAACAAAAACATTGGTGTTCATTTTTCACCCTTACAATCGGTTTAAAGTATTTAAGTATAAAAAACAGTAACTATTTAAAAAAACACGTGAGTATTAAAGTATAACATCAGGAGGGAAAATTTGACATTTAAATTCAACTGTGCAACATAAACATTGGTCTTCATTTCAACCCTTGCAATCGGTTAAAATCAGCTTTCTTTGCTGAAAATAATTTATGATTGTTAATACCAAGAATTCTTGATATGATTGTAATGTAACTGGAATGTAGGTCTTCCACCATTATTGGGACGATTTAGAGACGGCATTTTAATACTGGCCTTAATAAAACCATTGACCATTGGATACAGAAGATTTTGATGAAAAAGCTGGCTATAAATTTAACATGGGGATGGAATGTCTAGTTGTATTGATAGTCAAAGATAACCGTGGTTAAAAGTGTACTTCTATAAGTCCAGGTAATTAATTATTTACTTATTACGGTTATAACTGGACGTATGTATAGTCCGTTCTTGGCAATCAAATAACAGTATTTATATAGGATAGGCTACTGTTATCAACATTTGAAATTACTGAATTGTTACCAAATTACTGTTTCATAAAATGCAGATTCCATTTCAGCCGAGCCATTAAAATGAGGATTTGCCGAACAATTATTAATATTACAGAATAGTATTTAATGATGTACAACTTTTCACATTTCATAAATTATATGTTAGTTTTGCAATGGGCAAAGGTCCAAATCCAAATGTTCTTTTCTTTTGGTTTTTATGTAGTAATTTGCTACAATCATTGACTTTATATAAAGTCAATGCTAGAATACAGTAGATGGTTTGTTAAGACCATATGCAAACATTTTTGAAATCGTTTCCCCATTTAACCAACTATTCCAAAAGATAAAAATTATATGGTGCAACACAAATAAACAACTCGATCACCTACCTATAACCTACACTTTACCTTCCTAATCTAACCTTACTTCAAACATTTAATGTAGTCACGAGTACTCATAAACCCCGACCTACCTTCCCCACATGCCTAAATTAGATCAGTGTTCAATCTGCGTTTTATTAATAAGTGTAATAACTTACTGCACCGTCGATGTAATTCAACATAATATAATCTGTGATGTATTATCGGATTAAATATCGATTTCGATGTGGTTCGATATATCGCTTATTAAATCCTGATTTCTAACATTGGCTGTTTCTAATCAGCTGGCAACACAAATAGGTTCCCATCCCAAGAAAGTAGTCACTGGTCCGTATCCCTCCGCTCCTTGTTTATGCTCCGCGCATTGAGAAAGTAGTTCCGTATATTTTCTCGATTTTCAGTGAATTCCGCGCCTTAAAAAAATGTTGTAACAGCATTTTCTTGTTTATTAAAATCATAGGAATGGTTTAAAAACGTTTAAAAGAAAAGTATAGAAAGTTCAGAAATACCTTATGATTCTCTTGTTTACATTTTTCTTGTAAACAAAAAAACTGTCATAGCTACTTTAGTCCCATAAGCCTAATGTTAAAAATTTAAAAATTTAAGTTCGTTTTAAATTGCATTAGCATTATCTAATTGAAATTTGTTTGTTTACAAACCATCTCATTATTAGTCTAAGTAGTCTTGTTAAGTTTGGCTGAAATGTGTTCAGCCGTTATTGAGTGATGGTGTTATATTGTTTGCATTGAAGTTGATCCCAAAGAGCTTCGCTCGCTTCGCTCGCTCCGCTCAAAAAACTTATACTACTACGTGAGAAAGACATGCATTTAAAATATTCTAACTTTTATTCCGTTACCATTTGAGTTGGGAACCTCAAATATGCGTCATTCAATCACCATTATGATGTAGTTTGGCAGATAATTGTATTTATGACACGGACAAGTTTATTTATTAACACTTATGGCCGGACACCCTGTATTTCGATTCACACTAAAACGATTTGCAACACGGTAAATTCAGGGCGTTTTAAAGTACGACATAGCGTTGACAGATTGTTTCACCGTTTTATTTATATAGATAGCTATAAGTTTGTTGTAATATTCAATAAAGTACAACAAAAATTTCCCGTTTCAGGTAAATATGTAAAAGGTGGCTTCAAACTATAATGGAGTAAAAATCTCAGCAAAAATAATTGTTTTGAGAAGAACCGCAGCTCTTGCCCGAAACACCAAGGAACCTTATTCCAATCCTAAGGCCTCTAAAATCATCCTATCTTTTATTTCCTATTCTTAGCAAACTATCATGTCCCTTGTAAACTTTCAAGAGTTTAACAACTATATTTTGATTAAGATTTGTATAACATAATTTTAAGCCATAGTTAAATAGTAACTCCAACGGCTTTAATCGAGTGGGCAAAGATTATGCGAATCACTAACGGATTTTATAGATTATGCATCAAAATCTGTAGCCTATTTTATAGAAAAGGAATATAATAATATCGAGACTCGGTGGTCCGGAACCCCCCTAACTGTAGATGTGGGTCTGCTTTTCGAACTAAAACAGGAGATCATCTCTGAAACGAGATTAATTGAATTTAAATTGCAATTCTCACAGCTTTTTAATACAACATGTTTTCTTTATAAACACAACAAAAACCATTGTCATAAAAGTAAATTAAAACTAGTAACTTTCTTACTAATATATTAAGCAACCACATAGTTGATCTGATAACACCAACAAAGACATCCAGCTTACGACCTTCGCGTGACCTTGCTCTGACTCAACGCTTATCTCTTATCAGATTGAAAGATCAAGGTCATCTCTCTACAACTTGATGCCAAAAACATCTCGTCATTGTTTGTTCAACGAAGTTTTGTGATAAATTACAAGGTTTCATGACTCATACTTGATGCAAAGTTCTATATGAATTACAAACAATGATAGGGATAACGAGATAAAATACTGAACTGCAGCAAATAGACGTGGTCTGGTCACAAAATCAGAGTTCCGAGTTATTAAAAGTTATTATGTAGACTAGTAGTAGTCAATATACAGGGATCCTTTAACCAAATGTGTCCACCGGTAACTTGTATTGCTTTGTCCACTGAATTAGAACAATATAATATGCGCAACTACATCAATGAAAACCCACTGCTTAAAATTGTCAAGATATCCAGCAAAAGACGTAGTTCTAACATTTAATGGAAAAATGCGCCGAGAGGACGGAAAGTAAGCAAATCGGTTCCACTAATTCCTCGGTTGGACGCAGACAATGAGTTGTAACTTGAGACGACCCATTGTGTGGCGATGTAGTGGTTGCCGACGCTGCACACTGCACTGAGCTGCAATTGAAAACTGCTACTGTCGTTACCAATCAGCAATCCGCTTGGACTATATAGATCACTGCTATAATGAATATAAAATCAAACGCTCTTTGAACATATCCGTGCACCCGAGCTTGTTCCCGATATTAAATTGCAATTAAAACTCGTTATTGATAAACGGTTAGCAATCAGCGTGGACGATATAAGTCAATAAATATAAAATCAAGTCTCTGGTCATTTGCATGTTCTTGATACGTTACCGTTCAGCCGAAACTGTGAAAGATAGTCTCATGTATACGTGGGTAGGTTTCAATCTTATTCCCCGACGTAAATTACTAAGTATCGGTTCCTACTCTTTTAAAGTTACCAAGTTAAGCTAATTAGCTATTTACGAGGATAGAATAAAGAAATTGATATGAGAAATTGATTTTGTTAAAAATAGTAGTTATTTTCCAATTTCACGTTAGGTAGCACATAAGATTATTGGCCTTTGGCTAGGGATGGGACTGGACATTCCATTCCGGTGATAAATATGTAGCCAGTTTTGGAATAAACATAAAACAATAGTTGAATGAAGTCTCCAACAAATTGTGCCTATACTCTTGTCAAACTCGTTGTCAATGTTGTAATCAAACAAGAACAAACAGACAATGTATTGTAGGCCATAGAGGTTAATGTCACATCAAATATCTCAGTAACAAAACTTAGCGAAGAATCGGAATTCTAGAGTCTAGCACACTTGGGGTGTGTGATTCAACCATGTTCCCATTTAATCAAAACAAAAAGTAAAAGATCTTCATAACCTAAAATCTTTTACACCAAAAATCGTCACTATCTTGTACACAAATCTAGGTCATCACCAACTTACCTAAGTCTAGCAGCGTATTCCTTCTCGATGTCGCACCTATCCCTGATGAAGTGGCCGTACTTCTCCAGGAAGTCTATGCCCTTCTGTGTGTGCAGGGACAGGTTCTCGTACTGGTCCTGTAACACACGACGGGTGTTAACCATGGCTGAGCCTATACCACTACCAGGCGTGCGGCAGAAGGTATGCGATTGCGAGGGAGAAAGTAAATCTGACGGACGTTGTGAAACAAACACCTCCGTCTGGACAGGGATCAATGGCTTTTGGTGACACAAGAATCCTTTATTAGAAGAGGCTGTAGGGGAATACACTGTACGTTCTATGATAGAGAGGAGCTTCTTATAAAATAAACATGAAAATTAGGGCGGGAAATAATAGCGCCAACTCTGAGTATATAGTCGGGTATTCCTGAATTATCTAACTCCAGGGAGCCACCTGACAGGTTCATAAACTGCACCAAGTGGCGGCCCTCTTTGACTGTATAATTGAGTAGGTTAGGTTAGGTTGAGTTAGGTTAGGTTAGGATGACACGTAAACAAGGACATTCCTTCTTCCGGCAACTCACCCCTACCTGGCTTGGGCTTGGCGCACCTAAGGAGCATTTTTGGGACCCTTTGAGGACTTAGCGCAATTAATGCACGACCGAAAATATATACGTTTCTTAAAAAAAAGAAACAGGTGACCGCAAAGATGCGCTCAAAGAGGGGTAGGTCCAAAAGAGAACGGCTAAATTCTGTGGACAACTCTTAAAAAATAATCGTTTGCTAAAATAATGGCAATGCATCAACATAATGATTTTGACAAATTTTCAATCTACAAACATACAAATATCTTTAAGAGTAGAATATTTGTAGTAACATACCTTCTTAAAGGCTGCAATGAAATGACAGGACCAAACCCTGCAATGTCTGAATCCCATTAAGATTTTTAATTTAACTGTTGGAAAATAATCTGATTAAAATCCCAAGTCACTGTAGTTATTTTATCTCATTTTGAACTAAGACAGCAAAGCGATACGTTTTAAAAGAACATCAATAGCGTGACTTTTCTCAGCTCGAAACATCAACTAATTTAGGAAAACATAATTCAGGATCGAAGGAAAAAGCACTAGCCATTCTGATACTGTATAACTTTTAATATATCACAAAGTGTAACGTGTAATATACCACTTTGTGAGAAACCGAATGCTCTGTTCTATCTTTCAACGCAGGACGATCTGTTATCAAATCTAACTATTCACTTTCACCATCCATTGAATCAGAGACACCCAGCATTACCATAGTTATAAGTTGTGAGTTTCACAAGATAGCTTCATTGGCTGGGGAGGGTTGTGATTGTAAACTTTCTAGCCCAATTAGAACTGTAATTACTGTGATACCACTGTCGCTCCTTGTAAGGGACCAGAGACCAGAGACCAGACCCATCCTGGCATCCGTCCATCTTACGAACCGCTTACATACTTACAGGAGAGAGACAGATTGATGGATCATAAAAAGATCCTACAATGTTACAAACGAGATACAACCTCTTGGTATGCTTGCTAGAAGAAACAAGCATTATGTCACAATATTCAGACCATGTTTTTAATTTTAGCTCGTATAAAGAGAGCGGTGCCGCTGTAATAGGATGAGATAAATTTAAATGGCCTTTTAAGTGGCGAAATTAGGACTAGCACGTTCTCTTAAATTCTTAACATTGCATGCTGTAGTAAAAAATAAAAGTAAGCCCGCATATACAAGCAAAAGTAAATATAGACATATAGTGTGTTTTAGAACTTGCATTAAGTGAAATAACGTTTAATTACCCACGAATCGTATTAAAATTAGTTTCTGATAATTTTATCAGAAATTTAAGTTTCTGAAAATATTAGTAAAGGCACAAATGACAACAAAAAGCAATAAAACGTCGTGGAAAAACTATATGTAAAACGTGTAAGTATTAGCCGAGATAAACAATAACCAGTTATCAACACGAGCTCTGTAGTCAATGTATAACTATATTCAAATGAGCTCCATGTAAATCTAAACGTATTCATTCTGGACAGAATGGCTATATAGTCAGTGTAAAACCACCAACACATGACCTGAGGAGTCAGTGTAATAGCTTCATTGTAGATGTTAGCATTTGGACTACTAACAACTAGATAATATCCGAAAAGGTAAATTTACAATTAGGCAATCCATACAGTTTTATCTGACATTTTATGGATTTCCTAATACTGTAGAAGGTATTTATCAATATAACAACATATTAAACACGAACTCCGTAAAACCAGTGTGCTATAACCTCAACACGTGCTCCGAGTACAATATTTGGAGTGTAGAATGTGGAGTGGATACACGAGCATGAACCACTTTAGGCTGAGGGATGTCGAGTGGTCTCTGGACTCTACAACATCTACACAACCTAGAGTCTGTGGAGAAATCAGTAAGCTACACAACAAACTACACGAATATTGCTATTAAAAGTTGCATCTCACTGAAAGTGTATAGATCGAGAACGTTTATATTAGTCCTTTCATTGATGATTCGGAAGTATCAATTATGTTCATAGCTTTTGGCCAAAACGAAACCAGTTACATGGTAAGAATCCAGTATGCTGACTCGAATATTAAACGTTATCCTGAATAGATTTATCATCCTCGATGATCAGCTAAGTCACCAAGCCTACAAATAATTTTATTGAATTAATTATTCCCCTCGGTATATGTAGAGAACGTCTTGTTCATGATTTACTTTTGTTACTCAGCCAAACTTGAAACTATTAAAACTAAATAAGACAATTTATTCGTAAATTGTTCTTGCCCTCCGTTAAGAATAGCATGGTGGCTGATTGGATAGCGTCCATAATCTCGTCAGAACGTCTTCGGATCGATTCTGAGTAAAGTTAGAAGCACTTTTATAGTTCCGAACTGGACCCAAACTATTTTGTCCTTGGGCATCCTGGATAAAGAACCAGCTGATCTTTGTAAAATGTGTCATCTCATTCATGAAACAGCTATCCTTCACTCTTATTTTCTACTAGGATACGTACCCTCGCGTGTCGACGTCACGGAAATCTACACTTTGTATGGTCACCATTTCATTGAAAAGTATTAAAGTACAGATGGTTCCTTGGGAAGTCTATTTGCTCTATTTAAAGCCACAGTCTATACTCCAGTTGAGCTACACACATTGTGAAGTGGCAATGTAGTGTAATGATTGACGGAACGGGTTCAATCCACGCAACAATACGCGAGCCTTGACCCAAGCTCGGTCACCACACACTATACACTCAGTACAATAGATTGTGAACCGCCTACCGCCTAATGGCTACTCCTTCTGTGCATCCACTACTGACTGAGAAGCCGACAAAACGTATGTAATGGTGAAGGGTGAAGGAATGTCAAACAACTGATAATACTTGCGTGTTGACACACATGGAAAAAGATTAGATTAACGTTCAACACAATATCAGTCTAACAGTTTTTAACCTGGGCTAATTTGTCACTTTCTTCTACATTCCGACGTTTACCGCTTCCGACTATGTTAAGTAAATTAGCATGTTCACACATCAAAACCTTGTTACATTGTACACGCTATGTAGATTTTAAATGCCTTTAAAAATGCCCCAGGACAATAGGAGTCAGGATGCAAAATTGAACACTACAAACATCGTGTACCTTGTTTTTTTTTTCAGAAGATCCCCATATTTTTAAATAAATATTTCATAAGCTCAGAGGCCTGTAACGTGTGGAATGATACAGTATATAGTAATAGGCTACAGCCTATTTTATGTAACTTAATAGGTCATCGTACAGAAAGCTTGCATAAATAATTGAAGAATGCAAGGTTGCAAACCAAATAAATTGTAACTCTCTACAACTTGTGGACTAAAAAACCTTTTTTAATAACAAAAAATAAGTTTCGCCATCAAGCACAGTCGAACTATCCTCACATTACATTTTTAACCAAACTTTGTTCAATTCCAGCTAGTATCAGAAACTTGTAAGTGGGTAAGAGCAAAATACATCAAAATACATGGCGGAAGGGTGCGAACTGGCAACTAAATACCTCATGTAGCCCACACCTGCGCCTGCATCACCCTGCATATACGTAACATCCTCCATCAGTTAATCGATAAGGGAATTTTACCATCCAAACCAATTTCGTACAGTTAATTGAGGTTCACCCCATAGGTCAGCCGTCGACATTTATTGAAATCCAGAAGTGTGGGCTTTAGTCTCTTATCGCTTCAGTGATAAAACAGGCGCCAGCGACCACCATGTGACCTCTGAATGTCGTAGACTGAGAAATGACTCGAGATATTCTATCACTGAAGACAATAGTGGACTAATATAACAGTGCTTTTGAGATTAAGCGGTCAACTGTTGGTAAATGTGTTCTAAGTACGATTGATTATACAGGGTTCCCTGTGAGGTGCGATTTATGAAAAAAAATTAGGTATTTCATAATGGCCTATGTAATTATATAAACTAGTGATCTATTTTAACTATGCAACAGTCAAACGATACCAATAAATGAATAAAATAAATTGCGTTTTCCTACTCAATAGCTAAAAACTTTTCAACCAATTTGAAAACAAGATCAAAAACTACACATTATACTTGGAAAATACCAAACAGCTTCAACATAAGTCCGCGTCAAAACACTGTTTTTACTCTGAAGAAACTGTACTGTGAAATAAAAGCTATTAAACCTCGGAATAAAGAGCACATCCTAATTCTATGTTATAATCAGTACTGTAACATGTTACATAGTGTTCGTTGCAAGCACGTTAATTTATGCATAATGACCATGGATCTTAACACCTAATTAGCGACTGCTGTAAATAGTTCACGAAGAATCAAACGTAATAGAGATTAATAACAATCCGGATGCAACCATTTTGAAGTTAGGCACATTCTAACCCACTGCAGCACACGCCCGTTGATTAGTTTCACTTTTCAACACTTAAAACTGTACCTTACCAGTCTAAATATAGGAGCGGTTAATTAGTGAGGAACTGGTTTTTCAAGAAGCGTACTCTGAGCTACGCAATACGAGTGAGTGACCAGAGCTGTATTGTGTTGCACCTGCGCCGATAAAAACCGTCAAATAACGATATATTTATAAAAAAC